TTAGTCTCCCGAGGACGTATCCTGAGTTTGATCCGGAAGTTGAGAGGTGAAGTCTAGAGACTGTGTGACGATGATCTGTCCAGCACTCCGTGCACATAGCCTTTGTGAACAAACGAACTGTCTGTCTGTCTCTCTCCCTAACAATGACGTAGTCCTGATCCTTGTTGTCTTCTTGTTCTCTTTGTTATTTCGACAGCATGTGTAGGGTCCCCATCAGCCGCGGTAAACTGGCTAGGGAAGGGTGAGCGGACAACGTTTGGGATACATTTTCTAATCCGCTCCTCTTGTCATGGAGGTGAGCAGTGCGTACCTAAAGAGGGCTGCTCAGTCGCACAGGTGGCTGCCGAACTCCAACGCTGCTCCAGTCGGTGAAGAGCGACCATATGGCCTGTGCTGCCTGTGTGCATGTCCGCGACTACCGACTTCCAGTGAACCCACACCTATCACCTTCCTCGCTCGCCTGTCACCATAGGGCTATGGAGTGGATGATAGAAGGGATGGAAAATGATCAATGACTTGCGCGATGAGTTAGATTAAAATGAAGAAGGTTTGCGCGTCGACGACCTCACTCTCTCGCCCACAACCATCGAGATCCAGTGGCAAGACAAATGTCAGGATGTCTGGAGATAGAGACAGATACAGCGGATAACCAAGACGTGCTATATGTACCTTGCCTTGCTCCAAGCATTCCAAGGTGCTTGCTGTACCCGCCTTTTTCCCTTCTTCTCCGTTGAACCATGACGGTTTTCTCCTCAGAGTCCGCCGGTGAACAGTCTTTACATGCGTTATCAGGTAGGTAGGGAAGCCCTCAATCAACAGGGTTTGAGACCTGTCAGCGCTTTGTGTAGAGAGTGCTATCCTAGAGGGATCTCCCTTAAGAGTGTACGGGTTCCCTCTACCCGGTCTAGTGGAGGGAAGGGGCTTCAGGCCATTGCAGATCGTGAGACACAGCCCACTGTCCAGAAAGCACATATGATTGTGCACATATGTTGCTTAATTTTGATGTCAAAAATGTATAATATATTACATGTTTTACTAAGATGAACATACAAGTGTCAATTATCACCATGGTTTTGCATGCTATTAAATAATTAAAAGATTTTACGTAAAGGCTCTACTTGAGATATGACATATTGACAATATCTTTGTTAAGTAAATAAGAATATACGCACACAGGGTACATAAAGGGAATTTTCCTTCAATTTTCATTTTTAGGATAGGGATAAAGATTTACTATTAAATCAAGTTATATATATATATATATATATATATATATATATATATATATATATATATATTTTATATATATATATATATATATATATATATATATATATATATATTTATATAGAAAGCACAAAGAAATTCACTTTTACATGGATACTCACTTCCGCCCCAGCCTGGGGTTGGACTCTCGACCTTCGGAATCTGTCTCCTAGCAGTGCAGGAACAGCGCGCTAGACCGCTCGGCTATCTAGGCAAATCAAAAACTTGCTTTCGATGCCGATGGAATTCTCACGGCGCTGTCCTACACTACACGGTCATTGAGAATAGAAGTGAGATACAGTTATTTGGACATTAGTTTGAACAGAGGATTGTTACCAATACATGTTGTAATGAAATTAATTATTATTTATAAAGCACATTTTACAACAACTCTTAAACTAACATAACTATATATATATATATATATATATATATATATATATATATATATATATATATATATATATATATATATATATATATATATATATATATATATATACATATACATATATATATATATATATATATATATATATATATATATATATATATATATATATTTGTTACTGAAATAATGTTTTGAAATGCCAATACGTGATAAAAATTCTTTAAATAAAATGACCATGCATGTTCTTGGTGTGAAAATTGTCAGTAGTAATTTCTTTCCTTTGATCACAATTTCAAGATTGCATATTCCACTTTTTTAAATCAATGGTAGAATTATATTCCTATATAATTTACAGGACTCATTACAGCGCCAATATTGAATGATAAGTGAAAAAGGTAATAGCATGGTATGCATTGAGAAGAATTTTCAAGAAATATCATTCGAAATAGGATAGAAATTGCGTATTGAAAAAAACAACCTTCTTCTCTCAAAGAAACATCTGAGAGAACGAACAGGCCGGGTTGGTGTATTTAAACGATAGATACACCATTAAAGCCACAATCAATTGAATGCTATCATACATTTTTTTGAAGGTAGGGATGTATGTCTTTGAAAAATTAACTATGAAAATTATTCACCCGAGATGGTACCGATACCGAAAAATTCATGGCCTGGCTCATGTACTAGTACTTGATTGCAAATTAACTGTCTCAATCCATCGGATCCATCCATCCCTTTCAGGCACGGGCACTGGAAGTTAATGTAAATATATAGTATGTGTATGTATAAAAAAAGAAGGGTAGGACACTCTTTTTGAGGCAAATTCGGGTTTGGGGTATTGAAGGCCTTTCTCAGAAAAGTTGACGCGATTAATCGTTCAGATATAACTTACTTTAAATATATTTACTGTTTCGTTCCGCTTCAATGCCGTCCCTTCGTAGAAAAAAAAAGATGTTTTTATACCCCCAAGTGCCTAAGAATTTCGCTAGACTGCCTTACTTCCGCTTTATCCAAACTGAATAGAAAGGTAAGTTCTGATTGGTCAATATCATGCACATATTTTTTATACTATACTAATATTCTTCATTATTCCTAGAAATTATTTGTGAAAAGGCTAAAATATATAAACTGCCCCTAACTCCTCAACAAACGATGAACATACCATGACAAATAAATTGTTTCTCGCTTCATGTATATATCCATCTGTCTTAATTTTATTTTATTATTATATTTACATTAACTTCCAGTGCCCGTGCTTTCAGGCGACCGAAATTCCTCCAATTTTTTATCATCAAACTTCGGAGGTGTCTCTTGTGTCTTTTCAGCATTAATGATCAATTTGCACAAATAAAAATATTCCCATACAAGAACCTTTTCAATATTACTGATCACAAGTAGCCTTTAACAAAAAAATTCCTTTGTAATAGAATTTCTAGCTTGACGAATTCGAAGCGTAACTGCGTTTCAAGCCGATTTACACCTCGCATACTTTTGACGGAAATCTACGGCAACCGGTTAGTGCAATATTTATATCAGAATATATTTAATTGAATATTTAATTGTCCATCTCAAATGTATATATAAGAAATAAATAACAAGTTTATAAACTTCAATGGGAATTGAAGTGGGTCAGTACCTGATCAAATCTTTTGAGAAGGCCTTCGGCCTTCACAGGATTTGATCACGTGACCGACCCACTTCAATCCCCATTGAAGTTTATAAACTTGTTATTTATTTCTTAAGTAAATATAAGGAATAACTTTCACATTTTTCGATTTGATGACGATGATCAATAGATTAATCACATCAGGAAATCGAGAAATGTGACAGTTATTCCTCAAATACTAATATTTCTGAACGTTTAGTTGCCATATACTGTTTCAACGTGTGTCCTAAACAGAGATTTTCCCGATTCTCACTTTACCAACAGTGTTTCTTAGTTCTTCAAATTACTGATACTTTTGAAGAAAACGTGTTCTCATAATCGTCGGGTCACACATTATCTATACATTTTCTGTCACTTTATATCACAAATGATTTTAATCTATTTGAAATGTGATCGAGTGAAAGCTCACAAGTCGTAGGATGATAAGATAAGTATGCAAAAATTTAATTTCGGGATAAAAAAAATATTTTTGGAATTTTGTTACAACAAAATATTTCTTTTTCAGACCAACACACACGAATATTGCAATCTTGGGAGAAAGACATCTTTTATGAAACGTCTTTTTTTAAAGACATGAAAGACTTTTTTATTTCCCATCAACTTGTTGTTGTAATTGGGTCACCTGGGTGTGGCAAAACTGCTTTGATCTGTCACATTGCTTTACAGCTGGAGTCCGAGTATCAGATTGTTCCAATCTCCAAATCTGAGGACATCATTAACTATGGTGACATAAAAAATTCTCAAATATTTATCATAGATGACGTTTTAGGCGTTTTTACATTAGAGAGAAATTTATTATCAGCTTTAGAAAGACATAAGGAACACATTGATATTGTTCTGGATATAAAATCAAAGGGATCAAAACTATTCTTTTCTTGCAGACTAGCAGTATACAAAGAGGCAAAAGAATTAAATGTAGTGTTTTTTGAAGGAAACAATATCCTGAATTTAGATAGTGAGGATAACAGTCTTACAGTAGAAGATAGGAAAGGCATATTTGAATCTCATTCAAAAAATGCAGAGATTTCATATGTCATTGATAAGAAAATTCTACACGGAAAAGGGATCATCATGTTTCCCCTTCTTTGTCAAATGTTTAGTAGTGATGAAAACATTAGAAAATATGGAACAGATTTCTTTAAATACCCAACCAAATGCTTGATTTCAGAAATAGGTAAAATTAAGACAAGGAATAAACTGCAATATTTGTCGATGGTTCTCTGCATGTTGACCAACAATTGCCTTACAGAAGAAACGCTTACTAACACAATTATGGTAGAAAAGGCTTGCAGTTCTTGCAGAGTAAGGCAAAAACCTCAAAACTGGGAAATAATTGAAAAGTTGTCACACTTAACAGGTACATATATCACGGAAAATGATAAAAAATATACATTTACTCATGATTCCATGTTTGAGGTATTTGCATCACATTATGGACAGCAGTTTCCTGATCAAATATTGGATAACATGAGTAGCAATTTCATTGCAAATAAAGTTATTTTAGATAATACATATAACAGGGATAAATTATGCATCAAACTTAGTAAGTCTCATTACAAAAATCTTGCAAAAAGATTATACGACGATGTAAAACAAGGGAATCTACATGATGTGTTTTTAAATAAAGCTCTCACAGACCCAATTTTCAAAAAGCAATTCATAAACATTTTGACAGAAATGCCGTATGAGTATACCATGTCGTATTTTTTATATCCAAGGGAGAGATATTTTGAAAATGTTATTCTCGACGCAAAGAAACAAAGTGAAAAGCATATCGAAGAACCACAAGGACAGACAGAGTTTGAAAGACAAAATCTTCTTCTGGGCCTCAAACGTATCGGCAGCAGAAAAATTTATGAAATACGTGCCATGAGTTTTATCATTTATTATGGTCATCTCGATTTACTGAAATATTTTGTGGAATTTATTGTCAGGCATAATCAGGATAAATCTGTCATTTTTGGATCTACACAGGAAGAACAAGTAAGATTACTCGTATTGGCATGTTATAATGGAAATCTAAGTATAGTTAAAATCCTGATAGAAGATGTCGGGAAAGCAGGCATTAACAAGATGCCTATGGGGGAAATCAAACCAATTGACAATCGTCACAGATGCATAACCCCCGTGATTGCCGCATGCTTAAGAATGAATCATGATGTTGTTAAATATCTTTATGATAATGGAGCAGATTTTAATCCCCCAAACAGTATATATCCTGCTTTGTGGGTACCAGCAGGAATTGGGGACCTTGAAACAGTAATCAAATTACTTAATTTTGGTGCTAATTGTAACGAATGTGATATTAGAGGATGCTCTCCCTTGGCTTTGGCGTCAAAATTTGGTCACGAACATATCGTAGAAAAACTTATCGGGCACAGTGCAGAAATAAATATGTGTGATATCCGAGGTAAGTCGCCTCTCTATTTGGCTTCAATGAATGGCCATCATCTTATTGTAAAACAGCTTATTCGAAGGAAGGGTATCATCAACAACACAGATATTCACGGTCAGACATCTCTACACTTAGCATCACAAAATGGTCATTTGTCCGTTGTAGAGACATTGATTGAGCACGGTGCGGATTGTGACCTCTCTGATAAAAATAACTTGACACCTCTCCATAGAGCAGCATTAAGAGGCCACACTTCCCTTGTAAACAAGTTAATAAAGCATGCTGCTGACATCAACAAGTGTGATAATCATGACCAGTCAGCATTATATCTAGCCTCATGGAAAGGACATCTATCTGTTGTAGAAAAACTCATTGAACGTGATGCTGACATCAACAAGTGTAATATGAAAGAACAGTCGCCTTTACATTTAGCGTCTAGAGAGGGTCATTTATCAGTAGTTGAAAAACTAATAGAACATGCTGCTGACGTCACAAAGGTTGAACTTCAGGGTCTATCATGTCTTCATTTAGCATCACAACATGGTCATTTGGCAGTTATCGAAATATTAATTGGACACGGTGCTAGTGTCCTCGATGGTGATGAAATAAGGATATGGAAATAACGAACAGTATTCAATCTCAACGTCCATTAAACAAATATACAAAACAAGAGCAGAGCAAACACGGACCTCCGAAACATCAGAGGTGGGATCAGGTGCCATGAAGGAGTGAGCATCCCCTGCTGACCGGTCACACCCGCCGTGTGCTCATTGTCATAATCAGGAAATAACGGAAAAAATCCGTAGTCAATTCAGTGTATAAATAATGGACTAACAATTGGTATGAAAAACGTCAGTCAGCATTTCATTCAATGATAAATTGTATTTGCTGACAAGGTCATTGTATCGACCATAGAATTTACGAAATGATGATTTTAAACGAGACTGTTGATATTCTTGTTTCATCAACTTGCATGTCAATAATTTACCTCGTTTAATAAATTGTTCATACGTAGAGCATGCTCTTGCGTAACGAATCAACTGAGATATAAATACTCCGTATGCAGGTGATGAAGGTATATTGCTGCATAAGTAAGGGAAGTTGACGATAGAAAAGTTAAAGTCATCACGTTTATCATATAGCTTGGTTATTAGATTACCATTTGTGTCTTTTTCAAGTAAAATATCCAAGTATGAAGCAGATGTGTTGAACTCTGTGGTATCTTTTATCTCAAGCTCACCAGGATATATCGTGTCGACGTAGGAATGGAAAATATAATTATTGATTGACAATACGTCGTCGATATATCTAAATGTCGAGTTGAAGGCCACAGCAAGTGTTTTTTTCTTTTCACGCAAAAGATTTTGCATAAATTCTGCTTCATATGAATATAAAAACAAGTCTGCTAATAACGGAGCGCAATTTGTACCCATGGGAATTCCAATAGATTGTTGGAATACCTGGTCTCCAAAAACCACATAGATATTGTCAATCAGAAACTCAAGCATCTTCTTGATGTCAACTTCAGAGTACTTATGTGTACAATCAGAATCTGTTTTAACAAAATAATTTTTCAAATGACCAATGACGAGGTAAGTAAACTTACGAGTTCCATTTTTGTTGAAGAAGCAGCTGTCAATGATATCAAAAAGCCTGGATTTTAATTTGTCGTGCGGAATTGTTGTGTATAAAGTTGAAAAGTCGTAAGTTTTTATGCTGTTGATTTTTGTAAAGTCTTGTGATTTCAAATTGTCCAAAAGTTCTTTAGAATTTTTAAGTATCCACATCTGATTTACACCACTTCTTGAATATATAGTTGTACAGTACTCTTGAAGTTTTTCCTTCACTACTGTCAATATTTTAGTGAGAAGTAACGAAAGAGGCTTGGTTGAACATATACTGGAACCTGCAATGTATCTTTGTTTGTAAGGATTCTTATGAAGTTTCGGAATCCAATATATATAAGGTAGTTCAAATTCATTTTGGCTCTGTGGAATATTAAAAGTATTCAAAACTGACAGGTGATTTTGAAGAATTTCTTCCTTAGAAAGAGTAGTATATGTATAAGTAGTATAAGTATAAGTAAATAATACAACACCTCTACATTTTGCGTCCGATGTCTTCATTTAGCATCACAACATGGTCATTTGTTGTCCAAATATTAATAGCTTTCATTGCTTCCTGTTTAAGAAAGGTTAAAACTGACAAACCACCTCAACGTCTTTCGTCAAAAAGTGATTATATACCTGTTGTAAAAGAATTTCTAAACAACAAGCGTGATATTCAAGGAAGGATATCTCTATTTTTAGCATCATCAAATGGATATCTTTCTATTGTAGAAAAACTTATTGAGTACGGTGCTAACCTTAATATATGTGATATTCACTGTCAGTCATCTTTACATATAGCTTCACAGAATGGTCATTTGTCTGTCGTAGAAGCATTAATCTCGAACGGTGCCGACAGTAATCTATGCGATAAAGATAACATAACACCTCTTCATAGAGCTTCATTTAACGGATATACTTCTATTGTAGAAAAACTACTGGAACATGGTGCCAACATAAATAGTCTGGATATAAATGATAAGTCATCTATATATTTAGCTTCATTAAGAGGTCATCTTCCTGTTGTAGAAAAACTTATCGAACACAGTGCCAACCTCAACATGTGCAATATTCGCGGTTTGTCATCTTTGCACATAGCATCAAACAATGGTCATTTGTCCGTTGTAGATACACTAATAAAGCACGGTGCTGAAATTGATTGTTGTGATAAAAATAGATTAACACCCCTACATCATTTGAGGGTCATTCTTCTGTTGTAGAAAGATTATTGAAACATGGTTCATCAATTAACATGGTTGATATTAATGGTAAATCACCTTTAATGTTAGCCTCATGGAGAGGCCATCTTCCTGTTGTTCAAAAGCTTATTGAGCATGGTGCCGACATCAACACGAGTGATGCATCTGGAAAATCAGCTCTATCCTTAGCGTCACTGAAAGGACATCTTCATGTTGTAGAAAAACTTCATGAACGCGGTGCGGATATCAACAAATGTAATTTGTAGGACGAGTCAAATTTCAATTTAGCATCAATTGGTAAGAATGTGTCCGTTATAAATGTATAAATTCGCCAATTCATGCTGTCCGCTGTAGATAAAATTATACATTACCTGTGTTATTTATATTATGAGGGATTTTTTTTTTCTGTTTTGGATAATTTTGAGTAAAATATGGAGATACACAATACATTTTGCAATAGTGCAAAATGTACATAGGAAACACTTTGTAATCAGCTAGTGATGTAAACATTTTATCCTTTGTGTAGGTAAATTTAGGTAACGTTTATGTGTTGATACATTTGCAGTGGTAGTTAACATACAAATGAAACATCAATATGAACTGGTTCTTGAATTTTTTTTTAGAAATGTAAATATGGGACCACATGTTTTGTCATTCCAGTTATTCAAATAAGAAATTTCATGTATTTTTTTCGCTTAATGATATTATTTTGCAATGCAAAAAACTAAATAATATACCTTTCTTTTGCTTTTTGTGTGGAGTGTTTTTTTTTTTTCTCACCTTTTATGATTTTATGTATGGATTGAACGAATGGAGTGGAGCGTAGTATATGCAAATATTTTCACTAGAAAGGGTTGTATAATGTAGAGAATATAATATCGTATTATTCATGTTATTTTACCAGAATTTCTAGCTTAGTGCTTGACATCAAGATTTTCTTTTTCTACCTAATGGAATGTTTTGCTATAATTCTCAGTCGAAATGAATTTTTTTGACTAGCTGCATGATACGGATAAAAGAAGTTCGACTAGGTCTTGAGTATTCGAATCGCCGAAATGAAGCTGGTCTCTACTTTAATTTGTGTATTTATAAAGAAATTTATTTTATGAGTTCTTTTTTAAAAACTGAAAACAATTTTAGTCAAGTATAAATTTACTCAAGAACGCTGAATTAATGATAATTACGTATTTGTCTATGATATCATTGCAATATTGACTTCAATGGTTGGATATACTGGTATGTGTATTTCTGAAAGGAAGAGAAAGCCAATGTAGGATGATGTTCATATTCCACATGTGTAGTACGGTATATTTCATTATTAGTTAATTCATAAATTATCTGGTTCATTTATTTATCAGAAAAGTACTTGAAGACATCAAGATTCATTTGCAGGAATTTACTCTAGAGGGAAGATTTTGTATTTTCCTATCACACAATTGCAAAACTTTAGATAAATTTTTGTATATATATTTGTATGTTCCAAAAGGTGGAGGGGTGAAATTCAATGCATTGTGATATCTTTGTTTCGCATGTGTATTTTGGAAGTGTTTTTAGGAAAATAAATAAAGCATACTGAGTATAACATTGTATTCCCTTCTTTTGAAAGGATGGTATTCTGTTTTGTCTTTTGATAAAGGGCATTTCTTTTGGGCCATATTTAAATAACTTCTTTGGTTGCCCTCTCCCGGCCAACTGAAAAAGGGCCCAAGTCAATTTTTTTATATTCCACATTTTTCTTAGTATTCCTCTTATCCAACGATAAAAGATTTTCCACCTATATATACCCACTGACTCATTAATTTTAATCATTAGGGAGAAGCACTGTTTTAAAAATGTCCCTAGCATTATTCGTGATGAAAGCGATTAAGGTAGCGAACAGTGAATTAAAATATATCTATAAACAAACCAAGTGGATAAAAAAAGTCACCAAAACGCGGACCAATGAATATTTGAGAGATGAGACCAGGTGCCTAGGAGGAGTAAGCTTTCCCTATAGCTGGATGGAAATATTTTTATAATACGCCGTCGATATATCTGAAGATCGACCTGAAGCCTGAGTTAGAATAATCTATGTCTGTATAAAGGACATATATCATATTAATTATTATACATTCAACATAAATAGCTTTCTGATTGAAGTAAAGAATGGAGACATACAAGGCGAGCACAATCCCCCGCTCTGAGAAAAGACATTTCTCAATTAATAAAGTTATATTTTTCAAATTTATATTGTTAATATCATCTTTTACACATTTAATTCTGTATTTTATTGTTTTGATATTTTATTAATAATTTATTTTCACTCATGTTTTTTAAGATTTGTGAAAACAAAAAAGAAAAAGTTTCACGTATAATTCGAACTCGCTCTATAGCGCAGGGTTTGGTCAAAGACCGACCGCTTTAACCACTACGCTACGAAGAATATGCATTTTCGACGTCTGTCAATGTGATTTAAATGAAAGGTTTTGTTGAAGCGTACATTTGTTTCAGAATGTTTTTATTTTCATAAATATTGGGTTAAGATTCCATTTTTTTGGACGAATGAAATAGATTTTGCATTTACGTTTCCATCAGTTAAGAGATGAAGAAGAATGGAGACTTGGCCCATTCATGTTCAAATTTCATTTTTTATATCTCTAGTAAACCCATTTTTCACTTAATATGCTTAACTGTCAACTTTGAAATAAAGATTATCAAATAACAAGTCGTTCAGTAAAATTAAATGATAAAATTAATGTTCTGAAGATGACATAAATGAGAACATGATCTTAGAAAAATATAACTTTTCTGTGAACTTTGAAAATTGAGAAACATTTTTTCTCGGAACGGGGGATTGTCCACGCCTTATACGCCCTTTTTCTTTGTCTTTTTTTTCAGTCTGACATCAAACTTGTAACAAAAAATTCATGACTGATGGATGCCCCTCCTCTGTACATTCAATAATTGAAAGTTAATATGTAATTATATTACATTAAAAGTTGAAAAGTGATTTTTAAACTTATTTGTAACTATTGAATTGTAATCGCACTTTAAAATCTCATTGCAGGGTACTCTTAACTGGTACTGTAAAATCTAGCAGCTGTTGGAAATTATTTAAAAACTGATGCATTCTTTGTTTATAAATACAAAAATAGAGATGCAAATATTATTTCTTTTATTCAACGTTTTACTAAAGGTATTATATACATCATAAAAGAAATATAGATATATTTTGATGTAATTTACATTAGTCAAAGACATAAAAAAAATTATGAAATGTTTCATTGCAATAACAAAATTAACTTTGATCCTTGATGTAAATATTTAACCAATACCATCAAAACAAAAAGCAAAAAGCTATTTAACAGTCTCACCAACGGTAGTTTCATAAAACATGTTTTTCTTTAACAAAAATACTATAGTTTACTAGTAAATCAAAGTGTCAAAGTTATCACTATTAATAGTAAATCAAAGTTTTTACTAAAGTGTCAAAGTGTTCAATATAGTAAATCAAAGTGTTCAAAGTGATCACTATAGTGTCAAAGTTATAAATCAAAGTTTTCAAAGTTACCAACATAGTTAATCAGAGTTTCCATAGAGATCTCCGAGGTAAATAAAAGTTTTCATAGTTATCACTATAGTAAATCAAAGTGTTAACTTTAGTTACCTATAGTTAAAGATATTGAAGATAACTTAATAAATTTATACATTTTGCTATCTTTGATGTTTCCCTTCTAATAGCTTGTGATACGAAAATACGAAACTATCTCCAAGCTATTTTGAGATGAATTTACCTCATCTTTATATACTTAAAGTGGACTTTACATTCCCCAAAATTCAATTTGTGACTGGTTTGTTTTCCGATGAAAGAAAACTGACACTGTACATATATCTTTGCAAGTTTGTTACGTGTAAACGAAAACCGCGCAAAAGTTTTATTCTTTCACTTATCAAGAAAATGTACACATTAAGAGACGTTTGGGAAACACTTATGCCCCCCCCCATAATAAGAATTTTTCTAAATCCAAGGGCATAACTTTGTCCAAAATAGCTTGATCATACCCAAAACAGAAATGACAGATATTCTAATGAAAAAATTGTATACCAAATTTCATTTCAGTAGGTCTGACTTCTGCCAAGAAAAAGAACAACAACTGCAACTTATAGGAATTTTTCAAAGACCAAATGGCTTAACTTTGCCATAAATGACTCAATCCTACCCAAATTAAACCTTGACCTAGACATTCTAATGACAAATTTGTATATTAAATTTGGTTTAAAGGGAGAGTTGGAAACCTAGTGGACAGACAGACAGACCAAGAGCGACAGCAATATGCCCTCCCTTTTTGAAAGAGGGGGGGGGGGGGCATAAAAACAGTATAAAAACCATTGTTAATTGTAATTCCCAGAGTACAGGCATCTTTGATACAGGTCGGATTTTTTTTATGATGTTATTGCAATAAATCTTGCACAATTTCTGTCTAGATCATAAGGGCAATCTAAAAATATCATTAAGCAAGGCATCATTTAAAAATAAAACAATGTGTATAATGTCATAAAAATCAAACAAAAGAAGTGAAAAAGTGAGCAGTGTTTTATTGCATATAAAAATCATATGACAAGCAGACAATTAACTAAAACGTCAATTAAAAAAAATAATAAGATAAAGTGGTTTCAAGTTAAAAAAGATGGTTATATTTCATGCACAGTAAAAAAATATAACGTAAAAAACATCAGATAAAAACTGTGGATAGCAGCTCTTTAATTACATGCAGTTGATATAAACTGTTGAGTTAAAAATAAAACCTGAGGAGAAAAAAATAAATATATTCAGAAGTGACATATTCCTTGAGCATACAGAGACTGGAAACATTTCTGCTAACAACCTTTTATTTGTGAGACATGAATTCAGTCAAACCTCATTATCTGGAACTTAACAGGACTGAAAAACATTGGAGGTATTAAAAGATTCAAACTATCCAAGTTGAAATACTTAAAGAATAAATGTATTCAAGATTTTGGAGTTCGCAATAATGGTGGCATATTTATGCCATACACATAATTTTTTTTCAACATAGCAAATCATGTCAAGTCAAGATAACTATCTTGTAAAGTCATGATAACTTTCAGGTTTGCCATCAAACACCTACTTTTATCTTGTAGAGTCATGATAAGCTATTGTTGAAAAAAAGAACAAATTTCTCTTGTATTGTGACTAAAAGTGATCACATCATGTCAATATAGCTATTGCAACAAAATTTGATTGCTTATCTTGATTGGACAAGATATAAAGTCAGTGTTTGTCAACAAATTAGAAAGTTATCAAGACTTGACGAGACAGTTATCTTGACTTGACATGATATGCTATTTCGACAAAATATTATTTGGATGGCATTAATATGCCACAATATGAAATATCAAAATTCATCTGTAATCTGTATTTCAAGCAAGTATTTCTTTCTTCAATATATTTACTTGTCTGAGTATTTATGCAGAAAATATTCCCAGGTGCAAAACTTAAAGTTCTACATGGATTTCAAACTAATAAAAATAACTCAATAAATTGTTGGCAAATATTAAAAAATTCACTTAATTGCCTGTCTTAGAATAAAAGTTTTGAAAAATCATTTAAGCAACTACCTTTGATTCAGATTACTGCATAAAATCTTTTAATTTGGTATGACAAAGGATAAATGTGTTATTCAAAAATTGTCAACCAGACAACGATCATGAGTTAATAAAGCTTTGGAGATCACATAGTAAAAATACTTTCAATAATAACAAAATGGAATGTAATGTGAACAAATAAAGTCATATTTCAAACAACAATAACCAATTAAAACCGTTGAATTCAACAATGACCTATGACCCAAAAACAAGAGATATTTCTCTGCAATAGTCTCAGTTTTTTCATACACCAATTGAATAAGATCCTAAAGTAGACAATGCTAGCAATGTACACTTTTTTCAATCCTCAATGCAAAACTTGAAAACTGAAAATCTTTAAAAATACCAGGTTGTTGATTTTATTTAAGTGAAAATTGACTAATGGATATTTTCTTAAATATTTCATATTTAATATCTTATATCATTATTTTCTATAGCCAGTCTGACAATTATCATTTTTCAACTGACAAAAATCCTTAATCTTGAAGAAGTACATGTATATAGGGGGTTTGATAACTCCTAAATAACTTTATATCATACTAATAGCAATGCATAATAATTTTTAAAAAATCCTAAAATAGAAGATAAACCCAAATAATGATAAGAAAGCCCAAACTTGTCACAACACATAATAATGAAATATAATCCTTACCCTCTCTTCTAAAAATATACCAATAAATGTATGACCTCAGATCTGTACAACATATGTGTCTGTACATTGTGTGGTCTGTACAATATTTGTGTTCCAATATACAATGTAAATGTTCTGTACAACACACGGTTCTATACAATATATACAGTACAATCTTGATGTAGTTTGTGCAGTGACCAATGTAACCAGATTTTACAACAATTAACATGTAGTGCTTGTTGCATGCCTTGATAAATATTTAAAAGAAAACATAAAACAAAAACTTAAAAAAGAAATTGTACATAAAAGTGAATAAAATTATTGTATCAACATTTCAAGACCCTGATTTTAAGACCCTGTTGAAATTTATAAGGAAAATTCTGAGTATATATACTCAGACAGTCAAGCCTTCTTCATTCATACACTTCCAAAGCAAACTGAAATTCATATCTTCATTTGTATTAAATTGCTTGTTTTTTTTTTTTTTAAATCTTATGAACATTTGAGTACTATACTCTTCTTTTTCTTACAATTAAAAAGAACTAGCCAATTTGAATAGCCACTTTTTTCACTGTCTGTGCAAAGTTTCACACTTACAAATATATAATTTAAAACATTTGAAAAAAAAAAAACTGTAGAATACTGATATTAAGTATTTTCCAATGAGGTATTTTTGAGAGCACACACTGAAAGGAACATCTGCCTTAAATCATGACAGAACTCTGATTATTTCTCCATATACTTCAGATCATTACAGTACTTTGATTATTTTTCTGCACTGGATCAGATCTTTAGAGTACTTTTGATTATATTTCTGCACTGCATCAGATCATTAAAGTACTTTGATTTTCCTCTGCTCTCCACCTTGGAACATCACAGTACATACAGTACTTTGATTTTTATTTCACAATTTCTCCAGACCCTCTGTAAATGTTAGTATCTCTACTAAGTTCATGTTCATGTTTTTCTCCAGACAATGATAATAGAATTCTGCTGCCTCGCTTTTCATGGACTTTAGCTGTGCCAGGAGTTTACCATCAAACTGTGCAAAGGAGGGTACACAACTGTAAACAATAAAAGTTACAATTACGTTCATTTACCAAAATATCATGGTATATAATTTATTCTAGATTTATTTCTACCCTATAAGCAGAATTTTTAGCGAGAATTCAATTTTGCCATTATTGCTAATGAGGGTGTAGAATGGCTTACATTGAATATAGCTGAATATTAATTGCTATTAATTTGTTACAGCATTTAGTGAGCATTTTAAAATTGCTTAAATAACATTTAGCTAAAATTAAAACACCAAATTTTAATAAATTATACAGTATAACTTTAAGCTGAATATACTATGCATTTAGTTTGATGTAACAAAACCAGTTAAATACACGTTAAACCTCCATGGAAATGTTGTAAACAAAACTTTATCACAAATAATTAAATTAATCAATATGTACCCATCTAACAAGAGGCCCATGGGCCACATAGCTCACCTGAGCACTAAGGGTAGGAAAAAGTAGAAAATGGCTTTTTATTGTAAAGTTTAAATCCAAAAGTAGTCCCATGACCAATCATGGATTTGCTATTTTTAAGAAAATGATTTTTTAAAGAATTTTCCTATATATATCTTTAAAAACTTTGGTCGGCCATTTTGGCCCCCCCCCCCTACCCCTGGGGGTCATGATTTGAACAAATTTGAATCTACACTACTTGAGCATCTTTCCATATAAATATGATGAATTATGGCTTTGTCATTCTTGAGAAGATGTTTAAAGAATTTTCCTATATGTTTCTATGTAAAACTTTGGTCGGCCATTTTGGCCCGCCCTACCCCTGAGGGTCATGATTTGAACAAATTTGAATCTACACTACCTGAGCATGCTTCCATATATATATATATATATGATGAATTATGGCTTTGTCATTCTTGAGAAGAAGATTTTTAAAAAATTTTCCTATATATTTCTATGTAAAACTTTGGTCGGCCATTTTGGCCCCGCCCTCCTCCAGGGGGTCATGATTTGAACAAACTTAAATCTACACTACCTGAGCATGCTTCCATATTAATATGATGAATTATGGCTTTGTCATTCTTGAGAAGAAGATTTTTAAAGAATTTTCCTATATATTTCTATGTAAAACTTAGGTCGGCCATTTTGGCCCCGCCCTACCCCCAGGGGTCATGATTTGAACAAACTTGAATCTACACTATCTGAGGATGTTTCCCCATAAGTTTCATCTTTCCTGGCACAGTGGTTCTTGAGAAGAAGATTTTTTAAATATGCCACCAAATTTTCATTAATTCCAAATTATTTCCCCTTGAATGAGGGCGTGGCCCTTCATTTGAACAAACTTGAATCCCCTTCACCCAAGGATACTTTGTGGCAAGTTTGGTTGAAATTGGCCCAGCGGTTCTTGAGAAGAAGTCGAAATGTGAAAAGTTTACAGACAGACAGACGGACAGAGACAGCTAGACAGACAGACAGACGCCGGACAAAATGTGATCAGAAAAGCTCACTTGAGCTTTCAGCTCAGGTGAGCTAAAAACAAATCGTTACCACAAATAAATCAATATTACTTACCCATCTAGTTTGAGAGAGCAGAGCCAGTTAGAGACGTCCTCAGTGTTCATCTGATAAACCTTGGACGCTGTGGAACTCTGTCTGATCGGCTGACTGCCTTGTAACGAAGAGGAAGACGAAACAGGGGCATCTGTCTTATCTGAAAATAACATAAAATGATATTAGAGGGGATTTTCAAATTTTACAGATTTTTCATACTTAAAGTGAAGAAATTTATTTTATATTTATTGTCCAAAGTTAAAAGTAGAAATCTCTTATAAAACATTAGATATAATCTCAAACATCGATTAAATCCATTTGTATCATATAAAGAAGTTGAGGTAATCTATGAAATTTTACCTTATGTTTCAAAAATTCCAACCATTTAAAATCTAATAGAAGTTTTTGTACAGTGTCACTGAACAAATTTTTAATACCCACAAGCCCTGTTTAGTTGTCAGTTTATTCTCTGATAGCTTCTTTAGATAGCCTACATATTTACCTGTTGTGGGATTTTCCAGTACTGAGAGTCGCCCAATGCTCTTCAGTTCCTTCATCAATCCATTCCAGGGCTTCTCAAATGGATATTTTCCACTGAAGTCAAAATACAGCTTGGCTCCGAGAATCATTCCGAGCCAGCCGTCCGGCCGATACCTCTTCTGGACCATCAGGGGAATGTACTCTTTACGGAGCTGGAAAGTGTACTCCGCCTCTGTAAATTACAACACTGTTTAGTTTCATTTTGATGATGATGGTTTTACATAAAAGTGCATGATAAAATTGCATTTTAAATAGGTTTCAAAGTTTAAACCTCTTGAAAGAGAAATATAAGGGTGCAGCTCATGGAATGAGAATTTTATTTGATTACATGTATATGCAGATTGAAAATAGGTTTGCACCAACATATTCTTCTTCAAACTGTTTACTCCAAATATATTTGCTACAAGCTCTGTAGTCCTACAGAAATATTTTGCTCTAAAACTATTACTCACCCAATCTACAGTTAGGGCTCTCTTTGTATTTCTCTGACATACAGATTA